ATCGACCTAATCACAGGCGCGTGGGTTGCAGATGTGCGTGAAAGCCCCTAACTGAAACTCAGGATAATATTTACCCCATGTGCAAGAAAGACACGTGTCGACAATATATTGGGTGATAGCGATAACCACCTCTGACAGCTCCCAACGCCCTGCACCACCTCTGACATATGCGCGGCGTGTCAGAGTACGGACGGGCAGCTTGGGCAGCCAGCTCATCCTTATCCGGGCAGTTATTAGGGCAGGTATCTCACCCCTATAAAAAGTGGGATGAGCCTTTCTTCCTGAACACATTCTATTCATTCTCTAAATTCCAGTATACTCATACACATACTGACTTAAGCATCGGAGGCTCTTCACCGGATCCAACCCCCGGTGTAAGAGTTATTTGCAGGTTCTCGGCGTTCTACCGGCAAGGACAAGAATCGATCTACTCCAAACCGGACCCGGACGCTTACACCTGCATTAGCTGCGAGTCACACAGTTGGAAAAGGTATGAATTTGTAGTTAAGAATGATGTTGTAGCTCTATATTATTCGAGATGTTAAAATTGATGTTGTGAAAAACATGCTTATATAATTGAACTTGACGATTATTGCACAACTGGGATTCTTTAAAAACGTGTTATGTGGTGATCGTATGAGTTTATGTGAATTTGTTTTAAAATCAAGTTAGGACTAACCTCCCTATATCTTATATGTGCATATTTGAGATATACGTTGTGATTATATATTACTTGTTGATGCTCGGTTCATGAGTGTATGATTTTGGGTTGACATTTAATTGAAAACTCTATGTTTTAGCCGCTGTTTGTGCTCAGATTCTCGTAGCCTACAAGCTGTTTTCTGGTTAGGTGTTCTTCATAAATTTTGTAGTGCTTTGAATTAGGTTTCTACGAGTTTTGGAATTTCATAATTCGGAATTGAATTGAATTTGTTATGAATTTTTGAAATTGAAACTGCAAGCAGTTTTTGAAATTCCGGGCAGAATTGTGAATCATGATGTTGGGCTGTTTTTGACAATGTTAATGTGACTATGTGAAAATATGATCAACATGAAACTTGTAATACATGTTATAAGCTTTCTCTAGAAGTTGAAATCTTACAATTTGGTATTTTACTTGATTTTATATGATTTTTTAAAGTTGGAGTTATGCCCAGAATTTTTAAAACAGTGGCTGTATTTACGATTGAAATGTATGCTCTGAAATGAGGTCTTTAACGTGATTATTTGTAAAGATGTCCTTCTTGGAACTTGTGGCAATTCAAGTGTAGTTTCTGTAGGTTTTAAGTTTGCATGATTCGGAATTTTGTGGCATGAGATATTTCTGATTTAGTGACCTGCTGTAATTTATAAATAGTTTTGTTGGAAGATTTTTTTTACCTAAGTGTTTTATGCTTAAACTCGGTTTTAAAGTTATTTTTGGCTTAAGTGACCAACACGAAAGTTGTAAATAATTGAGTTAGCTATCTTGAAGATTTTGAATTTCAGTAATATAATGTTTCTAGCTTCGATTATTGTGCATACACT